GGAAAGACTCCTAAATACCTAGCTCCTCCTCCTCGTCCTCCTCCCACCTCCAGGGAGACACAAGTAGGCGGTGTCAAAAACCAGCTCCAACCCCCAGCGGCTGAGGACGAGAGCCAGAAACTGTCCTCTCATCTTGGCCCCCCTCCCAACCCCCGCCAATACTGTGAAGCCCCCCCGCCCTTCCTGCCCAGCCTGGTTTCTTGGTGAGGGTCCTGCAGTCCTGGTTCCTAGGGGACCCCCAGGGAAAGGCCCTTGGGAGGGAAGGGACCAAGGCCATCCTTGGGCCAAACTGTCTGCCTCTCCTGTCCACTGTTCTCTCTTCCCCACTTGTCTTCAAAAGGCTCCTTCCCAAGATGGTTTGGGTGCTAGGACAACTGGCCCAATCCTCCAGCTCTCCCTGCCCGTGTCTTATTTCAGACATGAGAATAACTGTACAGTGTAAACTTACAAAAGGTTTTTAATGGTTGTAGATTGGAAATAAAGTATGTCATATGAACAGTTTCCATGGATTTGGCCTCCTCTCTGATTTCTCTTGCAGGGTGGGTGGGGTCCCCATCAGATTTGAAACCTGACTTTACCCCCCCCCCCCCCCCCCCCCCCCACAGCCCAGTTGCTTGGGAAGGCGGGAGCCCTGGGAATGTCACAGTCAGCTGGCTAGTTTGGGGTCACTTGGGAGAGGCCACCAGGGGTTCTGGATACTGATTCCTTACACCTCAGAGTCTCCTTTGGAGTGTGATATGACCACTGAGAAACCTGCAGAGTGTTCAAAAATGTTACTTTCTACAAAAAGAACTTTTACAAATGTATCATGGGGGAAAAAAAGAGTGCACTTTAGACATGGGTCAGTTATTTATTACATTATAATTAATTGGCCCCAAACATTTATTAGATCACAGGTGCAGTGAATCAGGAATTTGGGAGCTAGGTAGTTCTGACTGAGCTAGGTGTCTCAAAGAGGTTGCAGTCAAACATCAGGCTGCAGTCATGTGAAGGCTTGACTTGGGCTAGAAGATCCATCTGCAACGTGGCTCACTCATATGCCTGGCAAGTCAGTGTTGGCAGGAGGAGGCCTCAGTTCCTCTCCACATAGACCATAGCGCTGCTTGAGTATCCTCACAACATGGCGGCTGGCTTGCCCTAGAGCAGGTCATCTATAAGAAAGCAGGGTAGAAGTCACAATGTCTTTTATGACTAAACTTTGAAAATCACACAGTCATTTCTGCAGTATCTTACTGGTTATACAGATCAGCTCTACTCAGTGTGGGAGAGGAACACACAGGGCATGAATACCAGGAAGCAGAGATTATTGGGGATCACTTTGGAAGCTGGCTATCATATGAAAAATCTACATCTCTCTCTCCCTCCCTCTCTCTTTTTACTTGGGGGTGAGATGTGTGTGGGGGGGCTAACAAGAACTAAGTTTGTGCTAGGCATTGAGAATGCAATAGATAGGCCTGGAAGACAGGAAAGTAAATGTCAATGGCAGGGGGGAACCCAGGGTGTTCAGGGAGCCAGGAGGAACTGGAAGACTTCACAGGACATCTGAACTGACACCTGAGGTTGAGATGTTGAATAAATGAAGGGGATAGTGGTATATTATAGGCAGGAGACTGACAGGAGGTGGCTCCAGGGTGAGGGAGTGCACGTATGAAAGCCTAGTAGAAAGAGAGAACAGAAATGGGGAGCCCATAGGATGTCACTGGAGTGAGGAGTGATGAAAAAGCCTGGGTCAGATCATGCTGTGCCTTATGAGGGAAGGAATGTCCACGTCCTGTAAAGCCATGGGAGAATTGAAAGCAGAGAAAGGACAGAGGATGTATTGGGTCTGGAATCCATGAAGCAATATTCTCACTGTGCCTCAGGATGACCAGCCCTGGCTGGAAATATTGTGTTCTGTTCTTGGGACATTGACAAACAAGGAGTTGAAAGAGGGGGGCAGGCATAGAAGGAACTGGGTACCACTAAGCCCCAGAAAGTGATATTCTGGGAACCAAGAACAAATCTCTGCTTTCAGGTGGCTATTAGAGCCAGCAGGCTGCAACCACAGAGTGGAAAATTTCAGGAAGGCAGATTTCTACCTCCCATCAGAAAACCTTTCCAAGGACCGCAGCTGTTATGGAAGGATGAACACAGTCACATTCCAGCGGCGGCTCCCCGACTCGTCTTTCAGACTTTCTGGACTGCTAATAATTCAACATTTGGTTTCAGATCTGAATGAAAGGACCACTTATGCAAGCGGACATTTCCATGGCATCATGCTAGGTGCTGAAGAAGCAGCCTGCTCTGTGCAGGCTCCCATGCCAGCAAGGGATAGTGGAGTAGACACGGTTGGGCTTCTGGGAACACAGTTTTCAGTCTGGAGCCTCAGAGGAGAGTCTGAGATGAATCCTCAGCTGGGGCTTATTTTGCAGGAAAAAGCTGGAATGGACTTCCCAGGCCAAGGGAACGGCTTGAGCAAAGGAGCAGAGGGAAGCAATAGGGGTGGGCAGAGGAGCTGCAAGCAGTTTGGGCAGGGGGTGGCCTGCAATGAGGCGGCACAGAAGAGTTCTTGAACTTCGCCAATATTGAAGGGGTCACAGAAGGAAAGTGCTAGAGCAGGAGTGGGATAGAATAAAACAAAGGGAGTACAGAGCTCCATTCTGCCCTGGGAAAGACATGGCCCACATTTTTGCAGTTAATATAAACGTGGGGTGGGGACCATGGCCTAACGACGCGGCAGGGCATCAGATGCCCCGTGATCCACTATACTCCTTTGGCAAGTACCTCTCTGGGCCTCTGCCTCCCCATCTCCAATGGGCTCTGAGCGCGTTCAGCGCGAAGGACAAGATGAGGTGGAATCCGTAGGAGGGGACTCCCCGCGGGCGTGGCATAGCTGCGGAAATAGTTTACGTGGCCGGGTCGGGACCAGTAAGGACTTGGACAAGGAGGGCTGGGGCGGGCGGAAGGCAAGAGGTTGAACGCAAGTTTACGCATGCGCCTCGAAGGCGGCCGGCGTTCTGCGCATGCGTGCATGGATCCGGCAGGCTGCCAACTGCGCAGGCGCCCTTAGTTGGCGGGACTTTCAGAAGCCGCGGCAGCCTTAGTGTCGCAGAAAGCTGACGGCGCCCCAGGCCCGTGAAGAGCGGCCGCAGTGGCGCAGGACGTCGAAGCGCGACTCTTGGCCGCGGAGAGTGATTTGCTGGCTTGTATCTCCGAGACGGAGGTTGTGGGCTGGACTGGCGTCGGCCGGAGGTTAGGAAGTCGCAGATCTCTCCGTGGACGCCGTTCGGCTCATCTCCGCACCAGCTTCCTTGGCGTCGGACCTCTCCGCCCAGTCCAGACCGGTCGCTGCCCCCCAGACAGAGGGGACTGGGGGAACTGGAGCGCTGCGGCCTCCTCCGGGTGAGAGGAATCCCAAGGGCGGGCCGCGCCTCTCGCTCGGGGCCTGTGCAGAACGGTGTTTGAGGGCGCGGGGGGGGGGGGTCACAGGCCTGGGTTCGAATTTCACCTCTGCATCCGCACCCACGGGCTGTCCCCAGTGGGCCGGGCTTTTGGTCCTCTGAACCCTATCTGCGGGGAAGAATTAATGATAGTATTTACAGAGCTGTGGAAAGGATTCAGTGGGATAATGAGATAATGATGCAAATAAAACGCTTGCGTACATACATACACAGATCGTGGCATATAATAAGCGCTTAACAAGCAGCTTAACAAATGACATTTGTTGCTGTTATTATCCAGGCTTGAATCTGTGATACAGCCCTATTGTGGGGATCTAGACCCTTGACCTACCCACCCTTGTTCTGTTACCTTTCCTACGCTGTCCCTCCCTATATATTCATTTTTCATTTAGAGTCTCTCCCCCTCACACAGATTTTTGCTGGGAGGGAGGGGTAAGCATGGAAGATGCAGACACGCCTCAATCATGTCCTTCCTTGCCTTCTTCCAGTCAGTTGTCTGTGACAGCCACTAGGGACAGACCTGTAAACAGACTTTACAGTGCTAGGAAGACTAAGGGGTGGAGCAACCAACTTTGCCTAGAGAAGTGGTTTGAAAGCTTCTCATTTGAGCTAGGTTGGGAAGGCTGAGTAAGTCTTACAGGCAGTGTGTATGTAGAGATTCAAAAGTGGTGCAGGGAATGGGGGTGGCAGGAGAGGGCAGGGATGGGCAGGTTAGGACTAGTTAATGAAAGGTGTTGAATATCCTGGAAGAATCTGCTGCTGTCTAAAGAATGGATTGGAGAGGAGCAGTGCTGGATGTTGGAAAACTAGTGGAGAGACTGCAAGATTATGCTGGGGAGGGGGAGGCAGATGGTGGAAGTTCTGAGACCCATACTAAACTAAGAACTGGAAGTGGAGAAAAGTTTTCCAGAGACTGTTGGAGGTAGGATGGACAGGACTTTGGATGGGGAGATTAAACATAAGAAGTAAAGGATGATGTGATTTTTCTAGTTTGGAAGACCATGTAAATCATAATGCCATCTAGGATATGAGGGACTAGTTAAATGGGAAATAAAGGAGGGTACGTGTTAAGCGAGACATCAGTATTTCTTTTTTTTTTTTTTTTTTAAGATTTTATTTATTTATTTGAGAGAGAGAGAGAATGAGAGATAGAAAGCACGAGAGGGAAGAGGGTCAGAGGGAGAAGCAGACTCCCTGCTGAGCAGGAAGCCCGATGTGGGACTCGATCCTGGGACTCCAGGATCATGACCTGAGCCGAAGGCAGTGGCTTAACCAACTGAGCCACCCAGGCACCCAAGACATCAGTATTTCTAACGATGAGTTCTGTAGAAATTCAGTACAGGAGATAATGATAGTCTGATAGTCTCTGGAGGAGGTGGATGAGGTGGGACTGGGCTGGGCCTTGTCAGGTAAGTAGAATGTCATGGCGCAGAGATGGACAGGTCAGAAAGGCTGGACAACACAAGGTCTTTTCTGGGGTAGTGAAGCCCCAGCAAGACTGAGGCCAAAATGTGAAGAACAGATCACCTTGTTTTCCTATTTTCAGGGTTTTCATCCAGGATGACTTCAATAATTAGATCGGAGACGATAGAAGGTAAGTATTGTAGTAAAATTAAGGACCTCTTGCCTTGGGTTCAGATTTCTCAGCTATACACAAATGCTTTCCTGGCTTCTGGTGGATTTGGAATCACGTATTCACATATTTGCAGAGATGCTTCCTCACTGTTTCCATGATCTGGGGCATACATTTTCTTTCTCCACCTTTTTACTCAGATGCATGGCTGTGGTGGGTTTGATTGTGTATTTTGACTTTTTCATAACAAGTGCTAGAAGAGGAACCACTGACAACTAAGACTCATGATCATCCACTGGAATCGGATCCCATCCCTGTGGAAGTGTGTAGCAAATCACCTGCCTCCCTGGAGATGACTCAAGGCGTTTCAGAGGGAAGAGTTCACCTTGGCTCTAGCCCTAAAATGGGGGGAAGTTGTGATCTCGGCCACCAGGAAGGACTTCAGTCCAGGTCCCTTCATTTGTCCCCCCAAGAACAATCTCCCGATCGTCAAGACAAGAGTCGATCTTGGCGGCGAGCAAGTATGAAAGAAATGAGCCGGCGGAAGTCACTGCCTGCCTTTCATCAGGGCATCACAGGTGGGGTGCTGTGTACGTAAGACAGGAGTTCCAGCTCAGATAAGAGGCAGTGAGGTATGGCAGAAAGAATGGAGGAGGAATGACTTGGCTCTGCTACTTGTTATGTGACTGAGCAAATCATGTCACCCTTGTCAACCTCAGTTTCCTCATCTGTAAGGGGGATAGTCTAAGCTCCTAAGTACTAATGTCAAACACCTAGTGAGTGTTCTGTATGATTGCTATTATGTTAACAGCTGCCCGTTGTAATCTCCACCATGAACAGAAATTCTAGTTTACAATTGTTCAACTCTCACCTTTGCTAGGATGAGAGGCATTAAAGATTTCTACATATGGCTTTCTGTCATTTCCTAAAGTAAAACAGAAGGTGGATGGGTTGCTACCTGCTTATAGGCTTTATAACTGAAACTATCTCAGAGGGAGGATGCCTGTAAAAATATCTTGGTGAAAACTAAGGTTTTAGACATGCCGTATTTGAATGTGATTTGTGTGAACTTATAATTACATCTTAGTAAGCAATGAAGTACAGTATTTAATGTGGAAAGTCCAGCACATTTCAGGAAGAACTTACTAGTTGTGTAACCTTGGGGAGATTACTTAAGCTCCTTTGCCTTACAGTCCTTATCAGTAAATGGGATGAAATAATACCTATTTTACAGGGTTGTGTGAGAATTAAATGAATTGATATATAACCCAGTTCTTGGCATATAGTAAGTAAATAGCTCCAGTGTTAAGCTATTGTGATTATTTTAAAGATATTAGCTCACTTCCAGATGGCCTGATGTGTAGAAGGAAATCTGGGTAAAAATAGCCATTTAGCATATTGCTGCCACAATTGTGCTCATGCACTTTACTCTGTAGGTGTGCCAAGAAAACAGAAGCAATTCCCTAAGTTTACTCCTACCTTTATCTCTGTTCCAGGGCCTGTGGACCTAAAATTCTGTATAACAGAAAATCACTGATGTAATAAGATTGGTTATCTCCTGGCTATTCCTGGCCACTTGCCAGGTTTCTTTGGTTATAGGCAGAAGTTTTTCTATACTAACAGCAATGAGAAATAATTAGGAGGCAAAAGAACTAAAAACAGCCAGCTAAAGCTGGAGGACAAAAATATATGTATCTCAAATTGTCAGAGCAAACTTTCTTTGCTGTGTAATAATTGATGTTTTTAGATGGACATAATTAAAAAAAAAACAGTATCTACATCTTGTAGTCGTTTGAGGATTCAGTGGCATAATTATGTAAAATCCCACTCCAATTCAGGGGGACTCACCATGTGACCTTGGGCAAGTTACCTATCATCCAGCCTTTGTGCCTCAGTGTCCTCCTTTGTAAAATGGAATTGATAAGCTACTTGCCTTCGGTTTTAATGAGGTGTGCATAGCATTTAATGAAATGCCTTTTATGTAGCAAGTGTTTAACAAATTACTATTAATGTTATTATTAGGTCATTATAGAGAGGCAGTATGGCTCTTAGTGGGAAAATACACATTTTTTGGTGGCACACTTGGGATTGAATTCTGGCTCCACCAATATCTGGCCTCCGGCAAGTTATCTACCCTCTGAGCTTCAGTTTTCCCATCTGTAAAATGGAGCTCATAATTTATAAGACAGTGTATTTAAAGCACACTGCAAGAGCACTTGGCTGACTTACTCGGTAGAGCATGTGACTCTTTTTTTTTTAATAAGATTTTATTTATTTGAAAGAGGGAGAGGCAGAAACAGAGCAAGGGGAGGGGAGGAGGGAGAGGCAGTCCCCCCGCTGGGCAGGGAGCCCTACGTGGGGCTCCATCCCAGGACCCTGAGATCCTGACCTGAGCCGAAGATAGATGCTTAACCACTGAGCCACCCAGGTGCCCCAAGCATGGAACTCTTGATCTCAGGGTCTCAGGGTCCTGAGTGCAAACCCCACATTGGGCATGGAGCCTACCTGAGGGAAAAAAAAAACCACACTGCAGTGCCTGTCCTAAAGATGCCGGAATGTTCCCATCTCCTTTCCTTGAATGTTGAAAATAAAACATCAAAAACAAGTTAAATGATTTTTAAAGTTACATTGTTTTTATTATTTTTGATGTTATTTTTTTAAAGGATTTAATTATTTATTTGAAAGAGAGAGAGAGCTCGCACATGAGCTGGGGCAGGGGCAGAGGGAGAGAAACTCAAGCAGACTTCCGGCTGAGCGGGAAGCCAGTTGCAGGACTTGATCTCACTACTCTGAGATCCTGACCTGAGCCAAAATCAAGAGTTGAACACTCAACCGACTGAGCCATCCGGGCACCCCTAATAGACAAGATTTTAATGTAATCCATAAAAGGTTTTAATAACATTTTAAAGTTAGTACATATAAATAGGTAAATTTCATTTTTTGGTGAGTCTAAAAAAATTAGATACAGTCTATATAAATTCTCCTTTTAAGTAGAAAAGGCTGCCTACGTGTTCTTACCTGAAGTTAGACCCCATCAGGAGGGAGGACAATTTTCAGTTTTTTTTACTTTGCTAACTGTATTAGTATCTAGCTCCTTACATGTGGTGATATTTTATGTTAGAGCTCAGCAGATCCATCAGTGCCAACTTAACAGAAAGCAAACGGCTTGTTGCTCTCCTGCTTTCCAGTTTCCAGGTAAGAATCTCGGAATTGAGAAATGCTTTCTTTTTCTTTTTCTTTTTTTTTTTTAAACTGTTACTGTGACAGCCCCAAAAAGAGATCAGTATTGTGTAATGTATCAGTTAAGATTAAAAGATGCTTCTCTCTAGGTGGGATTAATTTAAAAGCCAGATTTAATCCCAGCAGCAGCTGATTTCTCTCTGGACTAGTCTCTCTACCAATCCCACTGGTTCTGGTGCTAACTGAAGCAGCTGACAGAGATTTCCTCAGTCTAGTATAGTTTGCCCATTGGCAGCAAATGATGGGAATTTAAAGTGGGTGAAGGTCAGTATCTAAGTTAAAGCAGACATTTAAGGTCTGACTACATACCGAGTGGAAATTATATGGCTAACTGGTGATTTACATCAGTTTAGATAAGTCATTTGTATTAATTAAATGACCATGTTTCTCTAAACCAAAAATCAAAATGTATAGTCTGAGCAAAGAGATTTTTCCTGATCTACTTATTTGTTTATAGGAAAAATCTTAGGTATAAAAATTAAATCATGTTTACTTTCATGTTGATTAAACATCATGAAATTACATGAACTCGGGACTGGCCTGGAAAATCTTGGTTGTACTGAAAATGCTTTCCTTTATTTAGTTCTCTGTTCAGAAACTTGAACCTTTCCTAAAGGACACTGAGGGCTTCAGTCTTGAAAGTTTTAGAGCCAAAGGTAAGTTGCTAAGAACAGATGAGCAAGCTTTGGCCTTTGGCTTTACCTTCTGTTTAGGTCAGTTGAAGCCCCACTTTCAGGACCTCCATTTATAGGAGCTGCTGCCTCAAAAAACCAGCCCCCCTCTATATTTTAAAGTTATGTTTAAAAAAGTAAGAATACATGCTTATGACATTCAGAAGGTATAAAAGTGAGACGTAAGCCTGCCTCCCACCCCAAGCCAGTCCAACTCCTCTCTGCAGAGGCCACCACAGCCACCAGCTTCCTGTTGATTATTACAGAGATCTTACTGCATTTTACAGAGATCTTTACCAACATTTTTACATGAATACCAAATGAACATATACTCTCTGCACTGTTCTTTACCTTGTCTTTTTTTTTTAAAGATTTATTTACTAATTTTAGAGGGGGGGAGGGGCAAAAGATGAGAGAGAGAGAAACTCAGGCAGACTCCGTGCTGAGTGAGGAGCCTGATGCGGGGCTTATCTCATGACCATGAGATCATGACCTGACTTGAAACCAAGAGTCAGACACCACGCAGGCGCCCCTTGTCTTGTTGTTTGTTTGAGAGAGAGAGAGAGAGCAAGAGCAAGGGAGAGAGCACAAGCAGTGGTTAGAAGCAGAGGGAAGGGGAGAAGTAGACTCTCCCACTGAGCAGGGACCCTGACACGTGGCTCAATCCTGATACCCTGGGATCATGACCTGAGCCAAGGGCAGACACTTAACTGACTGAGCCACCCAGGCGCCCCTTGTCTTTTTTTTTTAAAACCAGTTTGTCTTGCACGTTGTTCCATATTGCACATACAGAACTGTCTTGACATTTTAGTAGCCATATGACATTTCATTTTATAAATGTTCCATATATGATTTAACCAGTTCTTTACTGATGGGCTTTTAGGATTGTTTCCAGTCTTTTGCTATTATAATGAATAGGGTCATGAATACCTTTTACACAAGTCTTTTGGCACATACACAGGTAAAAACAAATTTCTAGAATTGGAATTACATAGATCAAATGAAATGTGAGAAATTACCAGATTCCCTTCCAGAAAGGTTATATCAGTTTATTCTCTTACAGCAATATATGCAAGTACCTATTTTTTTCACACTCCTAACAGTTTTACCAAGCAGTTCAGATTTTTTACTATTTGATAGGTGATAAGTATTTTCTAGCTTTAATCTGTGTTCCTTTTTCTTTCAAAGAGGATAAGCACTTTTTCATATTTTTTAGAGCCACTTGTACTTCATTTTCTGTGTATTGTTTGATTGTATCCTTTGTTCATTTTTTTTAATCCAAAATGTGTTGGTTGGGATAGTTTGCCCCTCATCTTGATGCAGGGTGCTTTTAGCACTGCTTCTGTCTGAAGGAGTATCCTTCTGTAAGTCTGGGCTTTTCCTCCCGTAGGCTGGCAAAGGACAGTGGCGCAGCCAACACACACAACTCCTGTTGGTGCATGGCTAAAGGCGGTGGTGATTTTGTAGCATCCTGGGCACTTCACATCCATGAAGTAGGAGTTAGGGCTCTGCGCCAGGCACTTCTTGTGTTTCCTTTTCTCTTCTGGGATGGGTGGAGGAGGTCCTTCAAGAGGGGATGTTCTTGTGGGGAGGTCGGCACCGCCGGAAAGGCTCCTTTTTCGTTTTTGAAAATTGGGATGTTGGCTTTTTTACATCAGTTTGTAGGAACTCTTTATACGTTAAGGAAATTAGCTGTTCATCTGTGATACAAGTTACAAATATTCTTAGGAATCCATTTTCAACTTTCTAGGAAGTAGCTATTTACAGTATAACTACACAATCATCCAGGGTCAGAAATATTCAGTGTTACCCACTTAAAAGACCTGGAAAATATATGAACTCAGGCTGTTGTTTATCTCGGCATTGGACCATCACCATAATTAGAGTAGATAGGATAGCTGTTTAACATCTGCTTTCCCCTTTGCATTTCTCACCTGAGTGCAATTGTAGATTCTTCCAAGTCGAAGCAAAGACCTGTTTTTACCTTATGCCCATAATTCTTTATTCTCCTTTAACATCTTTCATTACGCCCCTGCCTATTGCCTGACTACTGTAATATGTTCTTCCTTTCAGTGCCAGCAGTTGAAATTTCTTGAAAGAATGAAATGTCAGTGCACATATAACTTTTAACTAGTTTTCACCAGTCAAGTAAAAAAAAAACACTATCATAAATGTCATAAAGAGGAGTTGTCTTGCATTTTATCTATACCTACCCAAAGAACAAAGATAAAATCTTTCTGCATATTTATACTACTTCTTTAAATAGGTGAGAGGGCCAAAATGTAACAGGGGACCCTAGAGCTGAGACCACCTTGAGTATATCTCTGTCAGCAGCTTGCTGTGGAAATTCATATTCTATTTATTTTATAACGTACTTTTTTTTTCCCCTCTAGCATCTTCTCTTTCTGAAGAATTGAAGCATTTTGCAGAGAGCCTGGAAGGTAATGGAACTCTACAAAAATGTTTTGAAGATTCAAAAGGGTATGTGCAGTTCCCCTTCCGTTCTAAATTATAATTGAATTAAGACTTTTCATTATAATTAGTTGCTTATTCACTCAACAAACATTTATCCAGCATCTTCTACACATCAGGCTCTTCTAGATGCTGGAGATAAAATGATAAGTAAGCAAGGTCTTTCTTAAGTATTTTAACAGGAAAGACAATCAAATACGTAGAAAATAAGGATTTCAGGTAGTGATGATCTAAGCAGTCAGTCACTATGATAGTAACTTGAAGAGGGTGTACACAACTTTAGTTAGTGTACAGAGAAGACCTGTAAGACCTCAGGGGTGGGAAGGAGCCAGCCATGGAAAGATGAGAGGAAAAGCATTGTTCAGATATTTGCTAGCAAGGCAAGTTGGTGATAAACTTACGTTCTTCAGCTGTTGGTAAGCAAGAATATTAGAAGTTTTTAAATCCCAGCCCCAAACTGGTAGTTCCTCTATAGGGGCAGGGTCTAACCCTCTAGCTCCTGCCTTGCAATAAATCATGTCACCTGGGCCTACCTCATAAAACTTTTTAGTTTTGACTTCACAAAGGTTTACTTTCCCACAGATTGTTAGAATTAACATTGCCGGGGCGCCTGGGTGGCTCAGTCGTTAAGCGTCTGCCTTCGGCTCAGGTCATGATCCCAGGGTCCTGGGATCGAGCCCCGCATCGGGCTCCCTGCTCCGCGGGAAGCCTGCTTCTCCCTCTCCCATTCCCCCAGCTTGTGTTCCTTCTCTCGCTGTGTCTCTCTCTGTCAAATAAATAAATAAAATCTTAAAAAGAAAAAAGAATATTACTATCCAGGAGATGAAAAATATGTTGGCTCAGCATAGTATCTCTTTTAATGCAGTGTATTTAAGCCACCAGCTGCTGCGTCTCAGAGGTGATAGAGGCTTTGTGTCACAGGCCTTGGTGGAGAAACATGAAAGGTGGCACAACTAACTTGTCTTTGCCAGGTAGAGTACCGAGTACATCTGCAGAATTTTGGCATTTTCAGGGCTTCTTTTCCTTCAGGATTAGTCACCCAACTGAGCTGAGCCATTAGTGTAAATATACATAATCCCTGTCCACTGATAGCATCATTTTGAGTGGGAAGAAGAGATGTCACATACAAAAGTATTGTTGGGCCTTAAAAGGTGACTCAAAAAGAAGAGACACAAAAACAATGTGAACAAGGGGCACCTGGGCAGCTCAGTCAGTTGAGCGTCTGACTCTTGGATTCTGCTCAGGTCCTGATCTCATGGCTAGTGAGATCAAGCCCCAAGTCAGGCTCCATGCTTAGCGAGAATCTGCTTGGATATTCTCTCCCTCTGTCGCTTCCTCCACTCACACTTTCTCTCTCTCTCTCTCTCTCTCAAATAAATAAATAAATCTTTAAAAAAAAATGATGTGAACAAAAGTTTGGAGATGGAAAACTCCAGATGCTTGAGGGTGGGGCTGAGTGAGATTATATGGGGCAGAATAGGTGAAAGGAAACAATTGGAATCAAAGTTAATGAGCTGGTTGGAGCCAAAACAGCCTAAAGTGCCAGGTTGAAGAGTTTTGACTTTTATTCTGAATGTAGTCAAGAGTCACAGACTTTTAGGCAAGGAAAACAAAATTTTTTTTTTTTTAAAGATTTTATTTATTTATTTGAGAGAGAGAATGAGAGAGAGAGAGCATGAGGGGGAGGAGGGTCAGAGGGAGAAGCAGACTCCCCGCTGAGCAGGGAGTCCGATGCGGGACTTGATCCTGGGACTCCAGGATCATGACCTGAGCCGAAGGCAGTCGCCCAACCAACTGAGCCACCCAGGCGCCCAAGGAAAACAAAATTAAGGAATATTTTAGGGAGGGGTAATCTCGCTATAGGTGATTTGGAATCGATGAGAGAAATGGAAAATAAAGAGACCACTGAGGAAATTGTTATGTAGCGCAAAAGTGAGAGAGACCTCAAGGATAAATATTTGTTGAAAGATGAATTCTGAATATCTTTTACTGCCATTAAAATTTTGTAAGGCATCCTATTAAAAGCAAGGGCTTTTGAAAGATTTATATTGATCTTACAGTCCTATCTGTATTCCAGAAAATCATCAGATTTGTCTCTGGAAACATCAGTGGCTGAAATGAAGGAATACATAACAAAGTAAGTGAAAATGAGTGATCTTTTGTTGGAAAATCTAAATTCATCTGGGGAAAATAACTAGGTCTGGAAAAAATTAATAGTAAACATTCCATTCAGAGTCTCAGTACTAGTGTGTCAACACTGGAATTTAGAAAGCTGCATATTGGGATCTTGTGGGCTTTACTGATAGCCAGTTTCATAGAATGGAGTCTAGGGAATAAGGATGTTAATTTGATTGTAAGAACTCATGTTTGATTTGATTAAATTAACATCCTCTGAATCAGTCGGGCTTTCTAATCCTTTAATGACCTTTTTATTCACATCTTAGAAGGAGAGTAGACACCTGATGTACTTATTGTTGCCCTGAGTGATTCAGAATGAGATGATCAAAAAGTAACTGATTATTTTTTTTTCCTGATTCTATAGATTTTCTTTAGAACGTCAGTCTTGGGATCAGCTCTTGCAGTACTACCAGAAGGAGGCTGAAGAGATCATATCCAGGTTAGCTCCATGATTGGAAATAGGAAGCTATCTTTTTACCTTGTGGAATTTGATTTGAATTGATTTCAGTTCTGTAACCACAAATTGAAAGATGAATCCTTTCTCATAGGCCAATCAGCTCATCAAAGCTCTATAAAAATGTGTATTAGCACTCTAGGACTATAAATGGAGAGTTGGGGGAAAGGGAGGGAGAGTGGGTGTCACTATTTTCAGTCAAAGAACAGAATTGCTTCTGTTCTGTGTCCTTGGCTGCTGTCCCACATCCTGGGGGAGACAGGCCCATCTCTGCCCTGTATCGGGGCACCCGGGCTTGGGCCAAAATCTTGGTCAAGGCACGTCAGTTTGCACGTGGCCTTTAAGCTGCAGGTATGGGAGAGAACCCTGGCCAGGTCCTTCGTGGAGATGCAAAGACATGGAAGGGGGTGATGAAAGAGGGTGTTTAGGAGAGAGAGGATCTTTGGGTCCTAAAGGCATAAAAAGTGGGAAAGTGCTAGACTTTGATTTAGTTGGCCATCTAAGCCAGTGATTTTAAGCTTTTTTTCCCCCAACAGTATCTCAGCTAGAAACCCAAATATTAAATGTTAGCTAAAACCCTAACTGCAGAAGTGGCCTCTTTGTAAGGAGGTGCTTTCAGGAACATGGTTTGAAAACTTCCACAGTCTAAGCACTGATGGTTACCAGTTACTTTATTTGCCCCTTACATGTTCTGTTTATGAAGATAGGTAAAGTATAAGATGAAAGTTTCAGAATAAGAACTTTTGATGTGGCATAGCTTATTGGTTAAGAGGAATGCTTCTGGAAGCAGAGTGTCTCTGTTAAAATACTAATTATGCCTTCATTTTGTGACCTTGGGCAAGCTACTTAATCTCTAAGCTTGAAGTTCCTCTTGAAAACGGGGATAATATTAGTACCTACCACATTGGGTTGTTGTGAGTGTAAAGTGAGGTGAAATGGAACGTGTTTAGCAGGGTCTGGCAGTCAGGAAATTTTGGGAGTGGTTGTTGTTAAAGAGTCCTCAGTTTTCATGAACTCTCCATCATATTCAGTTATTTCAGATAATTAAAGTGGCCCAGCATTTTTTGGAAAAGATCATAGATATGGATTTCAGGAAAGCAAGCTTTGGCTTTACCATACCCCACCTATAGTCCTTTTTGTAAATGGACCTTACTGTTAGGTGAAGTGAACTGATCTGAAGGTTCTAGCATTTACTGGAGCCCAGTGGTATAAATATATTAACAGTAGAATAATCGTTTCAGACCCCCTTATTAATAAGAAAGCCTACGCCTACAGTAGAGTGGAAGAATATTGGTTCAGGTTAATAAAGCCTTAATGGCGATTTTTTTCCCCTAGGTTGTCTTACATATCTTCTCCCAGAAAATGATGATAAAAATTCCTTGAGGGGCGCCTGGCTGGCTCAGTCTGTTAAGCATCTGCCTTTGGCTCAGGTCATGATCTCGAGGTCCCGGGATCAAGCCCTGTGTCAGGTCCCTGCTCAGTGGGGATTCTGCTTCTCCCTCTCCCCTCTGCTCGTGCTCTCTCTCTCTCTCTCTCAAATAAATAAATAATTAAAAACCCTTTAAAAAAAATTCCTTGAATACTCTTTTGTTCTTTTTTTTTTTCCTTCCAGAGGATCAGCTGAAACCAAAGTTACTGAAGTTGAAGTGGAACCTGCAACATATCTTGGATCTTCCCAGAGTGAAGTCCTTAATACAAAGCCTGACTACCAGAAGATATTGCAGAACCAAAACAAAGTCTTTGATTATATGGAGTTGGTGGTGAGTTGGCTCATATTAATTTGGTTATTTAGCTTTGCTATGTTGTCATCCTTGGAAATTAAGAGACCTGGAGAATATGTGTAATGAGATAAGTATATTCAGCTCTACCTTGGGGAAACATGGAGAGACAAAAAAAAAATAAATACGTGGTGATAAAAGCTAATAAAGCAAGGTAAAGGAGAGAGTGTACAGGAAGGGCAGCAGGTTGCTGTATAGAGCAGTTGTTGATGGTCCTTCTAAGCTGCCTTTTTTTTTTTGAAAGATTTTATTTATTCATTTGACAGAGAAAGAGCACAAGCAAGGGGAGCTGCAGGCAGAGGGAGAGCGAGAAGCAGGCTCCCTGCTGAGCAGGGTTCGATCCCTGGGATCATGACTTGAGCCGAAGGCAGATGCTTAACCGACTGAGCCACCTAGGTGCCCCTCTAAGGTGCCATTTTAACAAACACTTGAAAGAAATGAGGAAGTGAGCCCTGAGGACATTTGGGAGAATAGTATTGTATCACTCCAAGTATCAACAGAAAGTAGATGCACTTGATAAAGGTTAATTGAAGGAGTGATATATAAAGTGTAGGTATTGAGGAAACCACAAGGATTAGTGCAGTAACCTGGGGCTTAGAGGCAGCTGAACTCTTACTGTCCCTAGGCCTGAAGGGTGGAGGGGAAGCACAGTCACTGTGGTACCAGAGGAAGAAAGTTATATAGTGGGCCATGACCTTTAGTTGAGAGACAAAACTAACTCAAGACGACCCTTCCAGCAAGCCTGCATAAAAATATCCTGACTTCATTCAACTCCCTCCCACTCGGGCTCCCTCTTGGCTAAACCTGCCCAGACACCAGAGGACATGGAATCCTGTTTGAGGTTATGCTTGGCAGCCTCCCAGGCCATAGAGCAACATGGAGAAGTGCAGTGTGAATCTGGAGGAGCAAACAAAGTGTGTGGCACAGGCTTTCCAGGTTGAAAAGACAGCAAAGCAAAGCTCCTGAGCAGGAGCTTGCCTGTCCTTTCTTGAGGAACATCAAAGAAGTCACGGACCCTTATAGCTCACAGCTGTTTTTCATGTGCAGATGGATGAACTGCAAGGGTCAGTGAGGCAGCTGCATGCTTTTATGGATGAAAGTACCCAGTGTCTCCAGAAGGTGTCAGTACAGCTCGGTGAGTGTGTGTCTTCAGGGGACTAGAGCTTGCGCTATTTTATATGTGATAGCCCTTCAGATACAAACTGCCCTTCAAATATATGGTCTCAGAAAATAGGGCCTGTATGAGATGATTTCTTTTTCTCCCCTCACCATAATTATTAGGCTGTGGGTACTCAAAGTTGATGGGAAATTTCTAGATGTGAATTCCACAGGAACACAGTAGATTGGAAAATTAAATCCCCACAAACCGTGTTGTTTTAGTAAATCCAAGCTTTTAAATATCCATTGCCGTTTTCCTCTTCATTCTTCAAGAATCCACTAAGTGACACTGACGTTACTTCCCTGTTGCTTTTCCTTGGCCTCCTCCAGCCCTAAATTATTTGCTATATGTACCTTCATTTTCTCATTACATTGTATTATGGTTGTGGTTGCAGCTGGCTTTCCTGCCGGACTGCCATCTCCTTGAGGACGGAGACCCTTATTTGTCATTGTAATGCCCTTCAGTGTCTGGCACAGTTGTCCATACAAGAAGTTTTCAATAAATGTTATTTTGAATTCAATTGAAATTTACTTTTGTCTTTCCTCTGCAGGGAAGAGAAGCACACAACAATTAGATCCCTCTCCAGCTCGAAAACTGCTCAAGCTTCAGCTACAGAACCCACCTACCACACATTGCTCTAAGTCTTGTCAGTGAATTCATGTAGCTTTCCTGCACAAGGTGCTCCAGAGGAGAGAAATGGGAAGAGTGCCCCAGCACATGGCAACTGTGTGGCAGTCTGAGCTGGTGATAGCTGCCCTGTTGCCTTTGAGGATAACGGGCTGAATGTAGAGCCCTGCAGTTTTTTTTTTCTAAAAGTGACAGAATTTATGCATCTGAAAGAGTTTAGTATAGGTGCTTTTTCCAAGAATGTGCAAAATGCTTGCAACTTCTATTGTGGAATGACCTTGAGAACTAGTAGCCCATTCTTTTAAATATCCTTCATGGTCAGTAATCTTCATCTTGTGAAGATGTTTTTTAGGTTTTGAAACAATCCAAAGTCATTCAGTACCAAATCCAGGGAAACATTTTAGGGGTCAAGTTGGGTTCTGGTAGTAAAGGAATGGGACTAATTTTCTAGTGTGGCCCTGAAGGTGATTTTTGGTAGAGGAGTTGTGAGCATTGTTTGCATCATGTGGATAAATGTGTTATCACTTTACACGATGTCCAGGTTGAAGGAAATACCATTCATTCTCTGTCCTGTTCACAGTGTGCTTTAGGTTTTAATATTGAGTTGACATCCTAACTCCTAGATTCATGGCAGGAGGGGGCTAAGTATTGTTTTTCATTGTTCTCTATTTTTAATAATTTGCATTATAAAATTGCACATTATTAAAAGCTTTCTTTTGTCTTTGTGTATACACTGAGCATATAAAAAATTTTTTTAAGGCAGTGGGGTCTTAGCAGAAAATAGGATTCTTTGCCAAGATGCTGAAGTGAACAGTAGTGTGGAAATATGATATGCCTCAGCATTAATTACCAGGAAAACACCAACTAATTTATTGTTAATGTTTCTTATTCTCTGATCCTCCTAATAGGATAAAGCCTACTTCATTTAAATACCCAGTCATAATCTTAAGTCTTAAACCTTGGCCTAAGTACCAATTAGGGAAAGGTGGTGTCTCCTTCCTTTGACCTACATTCCTTTTTTTTTTTTAAGAGATTTTATTTATTTATTTGCCAGAGGGAGAAGCAGACTTCTTGCTAAGCAGGGAGCCCCACACAAAGCTTGATCCCAGGACCCCACGATCATGACCTGAGCCAAAGGCAGATGCTTTACTGACTGAGCCACCCAGGCACCCCCCCCCCACATTCCTTTTTCTTTCATGTATTTACAGAGCCCCTGCTATATGCCAGGTATAGTTCTAAGAACTGGGGAGAGAACGAAGAACAAAAACAGACATGGGAGTTGCTCATAGTGTCTGGAACTTAGTAGGCATGTGACCTATGTGTTAAAAGCCTAAGTGCCACTTCAACCGAGAAAAAGTTATTTAACCTCTTATCTGTAAGATTGGGAGAAAGATAGAACCTATATCACAGGGATGCTATAAGGTTAGATTAAAAAGTATAAATATAGAACAGTGGTATCAATGTGCTAGAGGGGCAAAAGCTTGAATAACTGGGTGGATTAATAGAGCAGCTAATGAGATGAGAAAGCTAGTAGTTCAATTTGAGATCCAAATGGAGAAGTCAACTAGACCATTGGATATAGACATGGAAAATTGGGTAGAGACATTTGGACTGGAGATAAAATTTGGAAGTAACTGATACGTAGCTGTTGAAGCCTTGAGAATGGACAATATTGTCAAAGCTAGAGCAACAGGGAAACTTTGGACAGCCCCAAGGAAAGCTGGGGCTCTTAAGCATCAGAGGAGTGGTATTAATTGCCTACTTTTTCAGAAGCAGAGTAGTATAATGGAAAGAGCACACCGTTTGAAGTGAATCTTTATCTCTTATGCTCAAATTTACTCATCTGTAAAAGGGATAGATCACACCTCTCCCAGGTGATTGTACCCTCTGTCATTTTATTACATCATATTGCATTTTTTGTAAGTATTTGTTCAAACTCAAGGGTAAAAAGTGTGTTTTTGTCTGCATCTTCAACAGCCAAATAAGATAGAGCATAGAAAAATAATACTTATAAGCTCTAAGGATTTAAATGCATACAGACCACAACTTAGGTAGCTTGTATTTTTTTGTCACTATAGATGAGGAACTCAAGCAGTCAGAGGCTTAATAATCTAACCAAGGACATAGAGATAGTAGAACCAATTTGGCACTCTGTAAATGTTAACAGATAAACATAAATCATAAAAGTCTGTGCTCAGTTAACTTCAGTTTCCCCTCTTCCCAAGTTTCCTTCAGGAATTGTGCTTGACGAGTAACAATATTACAGACAGTTGCTGTCCTTGACATGTTTGGTAAAATTCCTTCCGTTTGTCCTAATTTAGTTTTTAGTCAGTGAGATTAACCAAGAATCTCTTTCAGGGAGGGAATTATGTCTGGTATATTTTGGTGTTAAATCGTTGGGTCATTAAGCTTAATGTGTAAACGTTCTTAAAACAAAAACACACCAGGGGCGCCTGGGTGGCTCAATCGGTTAAGCGGCTGCCTTCGGCCCAGGTCATGATTCCAGGGTCCTGGGATCGAGCCCCACGTCGGGCTCCCTGCTGAGCGGGGAGCCTGCTTCTCACTCTCCCTCTGCCTGCCGCACCCCCTGCTCGTACTCTCCCTCTCTAATAAAAATTAAAAATCTTAAAAAACACACACACACACATACCAAAACTCCATTTCTCTGTGGCACCCAAGAAAGGAGGTGGTGTGGCTGGCAGTTGTAATAGAGATAGAATGGAGGACTGGGAATTAGGAGCCCCGAATCTTGGATTCTAGTTCTTCAGTTAACTGTACTCATTTACCAAAATTTGGTAAGCGCCTCCCACAAGCCAAGCACTGTGCTAGGCTATGTGCCCTTGGGTACATCTCTGGATCCACGTAAAAGGAGGATGCCTTCCTTGCCTTGCAAGAGTTCTTTTTTTTGGTTCTTAAGAGCTTCATTAGGATCTGATTTGGCGGAAGGGGAGGAGGCGGGCCAGACGCAGCACTCAACGCCCCTCCCTCCGGACAGCTCTAGTTTTAGGTTCTCCCGGGAGACTCTGCAACATGAAAAACTACAGCCAAGATGGCACCGCAGGGCCCTCCCGGCTCAGCCACCATCTTCTCGGTAGTTCCCGAGGGGGGCAGGCACAGCGCGCCTGCGCGGCCCCGGCACCCTCAGCGCGCCTGCGCGGCCGCAGAGCCTTCCCCGCCCCTCTCACAGCCGCCACCGCTGCTCCTGCTGCCGCTGTTGCACTGCTGGCGGGTACGTGCGCCTCAGGTGAGTGAGCGCCTCAGCCTGGCCCGCTGGGGACGCGAGGCGCTGCCTGCGGGGGCGGCGCTCCCCGTGCTTTCTCCTTCTGCGCCTCATCTCCGCGGCGCGCGGGGGCTCGCGGCTCGCGCTGCCAGCTTCCTCGTGGTCCCCCTGCGCCCTTCGCTCTCCCCGCCGGCGGGACCTGGGTCAGCCCGGCCTCCCTCAGCCTCTCCCCGTGCCGGGGCTTCGGGGCCTGGCAACGAAGGTGCCGATGACAGCGTGCGGGCGGCAAGGGCCGAGCGTCCGGGCGCCCGACCCCCTCGGTCTCAGGGACGCACCTTAAGCGCGCCCCCCTTTCCCGCTCCTGCCGAACAGGCGGCATAGGTCGGTGGGCCTTGGGTCGGGCGTTCACCTACCCCGCCCGTCCCGAAGCCAGGGAGCTTGAAAGGTGGGCCGGGAGCTCGCGTTGCGTGCGTGCGACCCCGGGGCAGCGAGGAGTACCCTCGGGCTGGACCCCACGATGACCGTGTGAGGGAGGGGCTTCTTAGCCCCACTTTACAGATGAGGAAACTGAGGCACAGAGGTGAAGTGCCGTGCCCAAGGTCACGCGCTTGATAGGGGCAAGGGCTAGCTCTTGAAGGCAGGGTCTCGGGCTTTCAGGCCAGTACAGTTAGAATTTGATCTTGTACCTTTAAAATTTTTTGAAATACACTTGCATCTCTGGAGTTGCTGCTTCAACGTCATAAAAGTAGGCTGTGAAAACAGTATCTTGTTGGAGTATAATTGAGGTGTTACTGTAATAATAATAATAGTAGTAGTGTGTTGTTGATAAGAGCTCACCTTCATCCAATGCTTGCCGTGTGCCAGGGATATTATTAAACATTTTATGATGATTATCTCATTTAATACCTCAGCATTTCCCAATCCAGTGCGTCCCCAGCTTCCCCCCCATCCCCGAAGCCGGCCTCCATGTCACAGGTAGACAGACTAGAACCTCTTGGTTTAGGAGGCAGGGAAGCCCTCTCATGGTACCTCAGTGGCAGAACAAGGATAAACCTTGTCTGCCCGCATCCAAAGTTTACCCCCAGTCTGGCCCCCCAGAGGATATAATTAGTCTTCCTTTTCTGGCTGCCAGGAGAGTAGGACTGGGCTAGCTGGGCTGGCGGGATCTGGAGGTGACAGAGCAAATTTGGCGAGCACTCACCTCATTCTGGGGCTTTTTGGCTCTCTGTTCCAACGCTGGGCTTGAACATCTCAGTATTTAAGATAAAGTAACAAGAGAAAGAAGGCATTGACAAAGTGGTGGTGAATATAAGAAGCCTCCATGATTTAAAGTCCCAAAGGAACAGCTGTAAAAATATGTGAATGTTTCTTCCCCAAAATAACTAGCTCAGGTGTCTTTTTTTCTCCCTTAGGAAATCTTCCTATACACTTCAAAGCTCCATTAACTCACCACCTTTTCTGTGAAGCCTTCCTTGCTCATTTTCCCAATTAGAATTACACACGTACACAGGGTAGAGGCTTCAGTCTTACCCTCAGGACTATTCGCCCCTTGAGGTCAGGAGTCTGCTTTGCAGCTCCAAGTGCTTGGTTCATAGTAGGCATTGGTAAAGATTCTGTGAATTTCCACTGCTCCTTCTCATTACTCAGAGTGATGTTTTCCTGCTACCCTTCTGTTCCTCCTCCTTGCCCTTCAATTTCTCTTTGCTGTCCTTTCCTTTAGATTCAGCTTCTGGTAGAATCTGACCTGTCACTCAGAGGTCTCCATTCCACCCTGTTTCTGTAAATTTGCAGATAAGGGTTTTGCATCAAGAAACCTATTTATCCCCAACAGTGGAGTTGGTATACGCCACATAAGTGTACCGGGCAGTTTTTATTTGCATGTTGCAGTAAGGTAGCCTGAGGCTTACTGCCTTTTAGTCTATCCCTAGATACATGGGAGAATTTTTACATTCTTTTGCCTTATGTGGCAGACTACCTCTGGTGCTGTCAGAGTAACTGGAATTTTTTCCTTAAATCACTTCATACTATTTGCAGTAATAAGTATTCAAAGGGCTTTTTGGGAGGCAGATCTATGTATAGGTTTTCTACATAAATGAAGCTTTTTAAAGAGTTTTTCCAAATAATTCTCTGCAAATATGTCAAGCTGTTACTGTATATAAGGCATGGTATACGATTTTCAATTGAATAATTTATTGAATAAAATATCCTTTTAAAAGAGCCTCCTAGCTAACTGGGAAACACCGTATCTAGCTGTAACTCAAGTCAAGTCTAAAAATTGGTATGATAGCATTATAAGCAAAAATATGACAATATAATGAGACATTTCATAAAATCATACACAGTTGAAGTTGAAAGGAAACATCAAGTCATTTTGAAGTAGGGTGGTAAAAAAAACAAAAACAAAAAAAAACAACCCTGGCTTCGCTAGGGTGGCTTGGGATTAAAATAGTGGTTCTCAACCTTTAGTGTGCATTAGAATCACCTGAAGACTTTAAAACCCAGATTTT